CTAGTACCCATAGTACAAGCATTGCTTAGTTTGGGACTAGAGAACGTTGTGTAAAAATGTGTCCTAACAATTATTATAATTATTATTACGTGGGCGGCCAGGACCTTTGTCCCGTTTTCGGTGGATCCGGTGGATTATGGTGCGGGGGCGACCTTGCCCGCCGCCCCCTCACCCTAAGGGTGGAGGCCGCCGGGAGACCGGATCGATAGGATCCGGAGCTCGCTTCGGCAGATTCTATTTCCGTAACAAAGTTAGGCGTCGAGGTGCCCGAGGTCGTCCGTTACGGGCAACCCCAGCATTTATTCCACGGCATTATTGAACGTTTCCGTAAGGAATGGCGTTGTGTGTCATTGCTATTAACAAGAAAGTCACTTTTTTATGTGAAAAGTTGCCAAGCGAGCAGGCGGTTCGCCTGATGTTTAAGTGAACACCGCCGCCCATGGACATCTGCTACACCCGAGGGTCACAGATGCGTTGACAACCTTTTGAAGATTGGGCTCCGACCACCTCACTCACCAGACGAAACGCGGAAGTATTATACTTCCACTTCACGCACGGTCTTCTGTTAGGTAGTGGTACTGCCCATTCGTGCAACAGCAGATTACGCTCCGTGGCCCTACCACAGTGTTGCTAACTATACGAAGCGGGAAATCACCACAGGTCTCCTTCCACAAGAAGACACTAAGACTTAAGAGGTGATACTCTAAAAGCGCACCATCATCCACCTGACATCATCCCGCGTAACTGACGCTACATGTGTATCATGTTGTCAATGGTCTTGGCTGGATGTTCGCGAATGGCCGACGTCTACCCTCCTTAAGAACAAACACCTGGACGCGGAACGGTCATCTGTTGGTCACACAAACACTTGCTTAGAAGCAGTTGGCGTAGCAACAGTCCCATCGATTCACTTCCCCTTTGATTCAAGACTTTGTCCTTATTATTAAAACTATTCAAAGGGGCCGTCCATAATCATTTGGGACTCTCCCACTCAAAATCAGGTGTATTTTTAATACTTACAATTAAAATTTTTAAATAAAGAATTAAAGTTTTTAGAGTATAATCAAATTTTATTCTGAAATTATGGACCATGATAAAAATGTAACGGCGAGGCAAGGTCACACTACGCACTGCTTTTCGGTTTAGCGCGTTCGACGAAAAAATGAATACACGTGACATCTTATATCTGAAGTATAGCATTTCACATCGGTGTTCTGTGTACGTGTTCTGCTTACCCTGCCGAGCCTACCCGTTCGTGTCAGCAAAAGCCGCTGCTGCATTAAGCCGTCATACTCTATCGCCGTTACTAGAAAGAGACGAATAACAGCGTGAACAGTACGTAACTAATTCTAAATGTATGTCAATAAAATACACGCCCCTACAGTTATATAAACATCTCTTGGGCGTATAAGGCATTGAGAAAGTTCAACTTACGAGAGGCAGCCCTCGCCCAGCGTTTTATAAATATGGCTTTGATCAATATGGCGTTTGCGTACCGGGCGCGCGACGTTGCCGCTCTGCCGCTCGAAAACATTCGAGCCGCGCGACTCGAAACGCGAACGACCTAACTCCATCTCGCTCAAGCAATTCTAGGCCCTATTACCAAGCGCGAGAGTTCGTTTATTGTATAGCGCTCTGCTCTACTCGTATTAAGACTAGAGTGTAAACAAGAGTTGCCATTCGGCTAAAATAGCTTTTATGTACATACAAATAACCACGAAAATTGTTTGCTAAAGAAACTGTGACGTAGCAAACCGCGCGATGGCCGACCCGTGAAGGGAAGCACGTACAACCGAGACGGACTCAGCTCTACTAAAGGTGATAAGTCGACAAACATCCACACAACTCTCTACTCAATTGCCTTACAAATAGAGTTGAAAAAAGGGAAACGAATTATAGCCGGATAGCATGAACGAGTTTGCGCGTTGTCAACAGCCGTTTTCGTGCGGAAAAACAAAGATTATAGGAATATATAATTCATTCGGGTCGCCTCGGCCGCTTACGGACGCAAATAGGCAAAAGATACCAACAGATCACCCATTGGGCAACGTTTATTACGAAAGCCGATAAAACATGTTTACATAATAAAAACGCACACACGAAAACTTAGAACCGCAAGGACCATAATATAACACGCGGGAGACAACAAATTTCACGCATATTACAGTGACTGCTTTCTATATTCAGTTAAACTTACTGATAGTCGTTGTGAACGAGTTTTTTGGGAAGATTGAAACGCGACGCCATTGAGAGGCGACATTCTCGCTCGTAACACTCGCTTAACTTTCAAAGTCGTTATATTTCCGACCTATGGTCGGGTCGGTCTTCTTCCAATACTACGATATTACTGAAGATTAATTATACAAATTGATATAGTGTTAAAAAATCATTGACAATAACAAGAAAATCTTTGAAAATTTGCAAACAATTTTCAAATATAATTTGATTATTAATTTTTAATTATTATACATGCATACAGTTAAATAATATTCAAGCTAAATCAATTCAATTATTATTTGTTTTATGCGAATGTTAAGAACGTCCTCTTTGGCTCACTCCTAGCGACATCTATTAAGAGAGATCGAAACTTGCTCGAGACCGTTTAAAAATTATCCGACGTTTTCAATATCCTTTAAAGAAATTTGAATTATAAAACAACATAAAATGTTTCGTTACCGAACAGTTAAGTGTTAATTTTAAAGACATTTTGAAGATACATTAATAAAAATACTGTGATATAAATACGTTATCATAGTTGGACAGCTCTTGATTCTGCAGACATTGGTGCTAGCCTAAGATGAGAAAACGACACACCCAACACGAAAATGTATACTGCCTTTCTACAAGCAATTAGTGCATACAGTAAGCCTTTTCAATGATCAACTTTTTAACTGTGACTCGACGAAATTATTCTCTCTTCAATAAATGCAATCCTATAAACGTTATTATTATTATTATTATGTATACTTTATTGTACACCACAAAGAATATTATACAATTAGTATAAAATAAGTGTTAAAAGCTAGGTACAATAAGGATAATGACTTCGTGGCGCAGTGGCCAAGATATTGGCTTCGCTGTCGGGGGTCGTGTGTTCGATTCCCACACGGGAAAACTGTTTATACGACCTACAGATAGTTGTTTCGTATCTGGGTGTTTGTCCTCGTGCAATTTATGTTTGTATAACGTCCTTACAACACAGGATAATGTTATCCTAAAGTGAGGGCAATGTTTAAAAAAAAAACAAAGAAAAAAATAAAGGTACAATATGGCCGGTCGGCATGCATACCCAGTATTATATTCTTTCATTACGACTTATAAATATAACACTTTCTGTATGATACTGCTGAGTGCAGACCTAGCCCAGCAAACCTAGCCAACACCATTAACAATATGGTTCACATGTTTGAGCCAAAAGCACCTAACTGAAATAGGGACAGGGTACAAAGATTCTTATTTCTTAATTATCAATATATGCATTAAGAATATTTGTAAAGTCACTCGGACTTTGGCTAGAAAGACAACCATAATTCGCATATTAAATTACATAAGTCATAATTTAAGCTAGTTGTTTGTATTAACCGTAGGAGAACTTCACAAAGAGGAAAATCTTTGTTACATATCCACAGAGGAAAACTTATTTGCTATAACCTACAAAAAGGTTAACAAAAGAATTAAAAACCTCAAAAGCTATGTGTAAATACACATAGCTTTTTGTATCAAGTAGTGATTTATGGTTGATTAAATTTTAAATGACTTAATTGCAAGCGACTGCCCACACATACTTAACACTACATGTCAGTGTTTAAATGAAAAGTTCATTTCATATTAATATGGATTTTAACTAATAATTTAACATCAACTGTCCGCATACATGAAAAAAGTGCACGTTCATTAAATTCAAACGCAATGAGCCCCATTATTTCACGAAGAAAGTATCTATTACTGACATGATAAAAAAACAAAGCCCTTACAAGTGAGATTACATTATTCTATATTGTTATGACGTTTGACACAAATTTCAAGTGGATAATACACTGATCTGAAACAATTATCTGTGAGTCACACATAATCTGATCCAGTGTACGAATCGAGCCCAGGAAACACAGCCATGGAGTCAATAGCTTGGCAACAGAGCCACGGAGACATCATTAAGACTTTATAAATGAGGTTTAAGCCATAAATTACATATTTGATCATTCACTATTATAAATTAGTATTTTTAAGCTACTGTAGCTTTAGTATTTAATGAGTCTGCTTTTCGCATAGATTATTTAACACATCTGTTAGTTGATATGAAAATTCTGAACATTTATTTAATTTTCATATTCGGTGATGATGGTTAACAACTACTAGATGTGGCACAGCGCCATCTATCTGAAGTATATGAACCTCTAAAGAACATGGTTGGTTGTGAAAACCTATGAAACACTTGTATCTGAACTTTGATTAAACGCAATAAAAAAAAAAATAAAGGTAGCAAAGTGAAAAACGTATAAACCATTTTTTTTCTTATTTACTTCTATACATAATATAACACATTCTCTTAATCGAAAGCGACGAAATATTGTTTTCGTAATAATAAATGTTTAAAATCCAATATAATATAACCTGAAATTCTGGAAATTATGCTATTGATATTATTAAGCAAAACCAAGTTAGACATATTCCGGAGACAGTTATAAGTAACGTTTATACGCTAAGTGGCAGACAGATTACATTTCGATATTGGGTTAACTCCACAAGTTTAAGTAAAAGCTAAATAGTTTTTGTCAGTGAATTAAGTTATGAAACGAAACCAAACTATTTAAGTACTTAAATATGAATAAAGAAAATCACAAAATATGTCTCGAAGTGTCTAACCTAACTAACCGGTACAACATTAAACCGTCCGTGCTAGTATACGGACATTCTTAGGTTTATCACTGTTTTTGCTTCGACTTCTCGTTAGAACGATATCAACGATATCAACGATATCAACGATATACAAAATAACTCACCCCCATCCACATACTCCAAGTAAATGCCGTCATTGCCTTTCGACCTTTCCCGCGCATTTTTCAACATCTCGCCGTAGGCCGACCTGTGCAAGCGCGCCAAGTGGGCCCTCAAGTTGGAGATGTTGCTTTTGTAGGAGCACTGCCTCTCGCAAATGTTGCACACCGCTACAGAGTCGGCGCCATCCAGCTCGCTGAAGTACTGCCATATCGGAGAGCGGTTTTTCCTCGGCGTCGGCTGCGATCGCGCCTTCACAGTCAGCGTCACTTCGTCACCATGAACCCGCGCGAGATGCGACTTCAGATTGTGTGAAGTGGACTCGTAACTAAGCGAATTCTCGCATAGCAAACACCTGGCGCGCCTCGGACCATCCTCCGAATCGCACTTGCGGAAGTAATCCCAAATGTCTAATTCGCCCATCGTTATATTGTATTGTTGTTTTACTTTATCGATCAACGTTAACAATATCAGGTTACTTAACGTGGACGCCGCTACGATACGTCCTAAGATGGCGTTCGTTGTCAGTGTCACGAGAGATTTATCCGAAACGCCGCGAAAAAGACGAGAGTTTTATTGAAAAAAGAAGAGATTGATCTATTTCGCATTAAAAATTAAACATTCGAATGTTTAACGAACGAGACCGATTTCGGAGAAAATCAAAGATGTAAGACTAATCAATAAACTAAGTAAGTAAATAGGCATGCGTCCGATATATCAAAAAGTATTTAAAATCCGATTCCAAACAAATCGATTCGAATCAAAACTAAATATCCGATTTCAGAAATCAACTTAACCAAAACAAAAGCTGACGATCTATATGTCGATAGCACCAAAAGAATCCGAATTGACAAATAAAATCACGGGATTACCAAACGAATTGTGTGCGGTATCCAAACGTAAACTGATTGATCTCACTATGAAATGCACTATCTCTCTTTCTAACCAATTGGAATAAAGAGGATAGCACGAATTTAGCGATTCGGATTTCGGTTTGTCGGTTAGCCTACGGAAATCTATTACGCAATGCATATATCAATTCTTCTTAAAATTAATACAATAATAAATTAAAAGAGGTGTCGTCTCAAGTCCTCAAAAGTAGAGCAACTTGCGTTTTTGAATAAACAAAAAAAAACGATAAATTATTGTAAATATGCCGACTTTCCGAAGTCCGACGCACTAGAAAAGTTTTATGTGTAATCGTAAACATAACTTCTGCTAGTTCTAAGCCTAGACTAAAACATCTTCATGCTTCAAATTGTCCTTCGAAAAACGCGCAAATCTCTATCTGTACAAACAATAACGACAAGTTAACCAATGAAATGAAAAGAAATCTAAGTTCATAAGCGATTTGGTGAGGCTAAGCTCTACTGAAATCGGATGTTTAAAATCCGATTTTGAATTTTGAAATTGATTTGGTTATCTTAAAATAAAATTGGATAAATATCGGTTTTCGTTAAAAACCAAAAACGCCCATTACTTGTGAGTATTAGCGAATTAAGAAAAAGACTAATGTCAATCGCACTCACACATTAAACAGGCACTGCTAACAGTTATTTAGCATTGAGTTTTCTTATTATCACAGGAATATAAAATTGTAATATATATAAATTTTTAATTTCAATTTTTAAATTACAATAAAACTTAGTTCGTCTTGCACTTGGCCGGTTTTCTTTGATGAAGGATATTTTAAGTCAAAAATTAAAGTTCTATGCTTACAATACAGTTAAAAAAAATAAAGGCATTGAATTTTCCGTAGTTTTAACAGGCAGTTGTACGAATAATTGTGATTTGTGATAAGTACTCGATACTAATGTATTGTGCTAAACTACATAGTAAACTACGAAAGTAGGTAAGAATAAAACTTAAAGTATTCTAAGAATACTTATTTATTATAGCGTAAAAAATAATAGGCGTTATTTATGAAGCTCATCGTTATAACACGTTATCAATACATAACCGCGGCGTACACTCAATTAATATAAAATAGGGACTGTCGTCAGTGAAAAAAAATATCGATATTTATTAAAATATCAATATTAACCTGAATTTAAAGAGGAAATAATAATGATACGTCGGTCTATTTTCAAGTTTGATTTATAAAGTATTTTATACCAAATGCGCATTATTTTAATGTATTAGAATATTATATATATATATATATTTTGCATCGATGATATATTTTCATGTTTCCGTATTCCGTTCTATAGTGTAGTAATTGGGCGCAATAAAACCATAACAGTTTATAAGTAAAATAAAATTAGCAATATTAGGATTACCTATTTATGATTTCTGTGTGTGTTGTAAAACATAAATATTTAATATTTCTTACTATTTAACAACGTTAAGTCTCCAGCAGATGACTCTGAAGTCTGCAGACCGTTGTAGACTCAAGGGTTTTCTGCTTCAAATGCATATTAAGGTTCGTTACGGTGGTCTTATAGGACAGGGGCTTGCTGCAGAATTGGCAGATCACAGCCTTTCTGCCATCGTTGCATTTTTCGAAATAGTTCCATACCCTAGTGCTTGACGACCTAGACATGTCAAACGAGAACGCGACACAAAATTGTTGCTTAAAAATAAAAACGTTCAAAACCCACCGCGGTGCGAAGCCAGCTATATTAAGCGAGTTATAATAGCTGTAACCACGGAATGCTATTTTTTTGTTATAACGCGATGTAGCAAAGCAATAGCGGATATCGTTTACCGCTCCGGATATTGAGCATTTGCGCAATGTCTGCAACTTGTTTAAAACATTACATAAAAATTGTCATTGAGTGTTTAATTTTTTTTAAAATTATATAATTAATTATGTTTAATAACGTTTCGTTACTACACAGTTTTAGGGAGTCTAAAAGTCCGGTGACTTGGTCAGAAGAGGACCATGGGTAAAGGGTATTTGAGTTAATCCAGAGGAATTATTATGGTTTAAATCACGATTTCATTACGAGACACATTAATATTATTATATACAGCGTGTCGTTACCATCGCGACAGCAAATGAACACACGTCTAACGCTACATGCCAATAATCATAAAAAATATTAACGTTAAACAATATCCATAATTAAAAAATATTTTTCAAACAAACTAATTAAGTATAAAAGAAACAAAATTTGTAACACCTATACAACTCGCGCCACAGCGTCGTATTACAAGCCTCTCCTTCTAACAGTATGTTTTTGTCTCTTTTAAATTCATTCAACCCATTCATATGCTTTGTGACCTTTACAAATGAACTTTACGTTATGCTTTTATAGGTGAGGGTGTTCTAAAATTCTTTTTTTTGGAAAATTTTATAACTCTGTAAATATTGATGTTTAAAGAATTTAAATGTTTAATACAACTTTAATGTGTGTTTATTTATTATCCCCTAATGTGTGTTTATTTATTGTCGCGATGGTAACGACACGCTGTATATAATATTAATGTGTTACCAAATTCGCACATGAGGTTCAGACTCGGTAGTATAATCGTTTATTGAAATAAAACAAACATTCTTTTTTTTTTTCAAGGAAATTGCCATTCCATTCCCTAAAAAACAGAACTTGTTGAAAATGCGGTAGTCATTCATAAACGTGTCGTATATTTTTGAAACGAACTTGTGTGCGTGTTAGTTGTGAATCGCACGTAAAATAAATGAGTTGCCCATAAATCACGCATTTTTCGAGATAAGTTCAAATGAATGTAATTAATTATTTATATATTTATCATTTTGTATATAACATTATTTGTCTAGAATTTAATTAAAAAAATGGATACACTTAGAAAAGCCTCCCTGCATAATTTAATCTTATTATTGTTGTTCCCAACAGTGTATAGCTATGTAGATATATATACGTAAGATATATCCCCAGTTACCATCGTACTGCACATGTATCAATTACGCAATGACTGGTGCTTTTTTCAATATAATCGACCACCGGCAAAGCGCGGTGCCCTTTCGGTTTCGTCATCCTTACTTCGAACCGATTGTACACCGCTTTATGTCTTAATTAGTATTAAACTACGTTAATGACTTTTGTTAACCTCTAAATACTATTTTTTTAAGTTAAATATTGTTTTTTTTTTAAAGATCCTCTGTTGCGCAACTCGTATGAATGCCTTATCGGCAATTCACCATAATAATTATGAAATTAAACAGGTTGCAATAAGGTGTAAATTTCAAAGTTTTATTTACTTCTTGGTTTTATATAAATATTTATATTTTAAATATCAGCCAGTAATAAATACGGTACGCAAAGTAATCAATTGTATGAAATTTAATTATTCCATTTTTATTCTCCTAATCTAGCAGTTTACATTTTAGGGTTTTAACTTATAACTATATCGTTATTAACATTTCTCTATTGATTAAAATTTTTGTGTGTTAAGTGTAAATTTAGACCAGCTGCATAAAAAATAAAGAAAATCATATTCAAATAGTATCTATATAATTTCCTTTATTACACAATATTGTAAATGCACAAAATATCAATTGAATTCGGAAACTCCGCCTAAGGCGACGGAAAATTTATCACAGATAAAAAATAAGTCCCGAGAGGGTGACTACGCTATGTCCGTCATCTTCTCGTCGTGAGAACAATACAAAATAATCTCCAAAATCAAGTGCTTATGTCCTCACCTCCAGTTGTGTGTCAGCTGTATGTACCACGTCAATTCCAATGATTTATTATAACTGCACAAAATCTCCTATATAATGGAACCACCGAAGACTAAGAAAGTCCCCTCAACTCGGTCTTTGCCTCAACGCTCTAAAGAACAGGGCTTGTACGTCCAAGCAGCTCGACCTCTGGTAGATCAGAACCAGTCTCCAACCCTTTGGCTAACCCATCGAACACGGCCATGGTCTACTTCGTCTCACGGTCCAACCACAACCAAGGCTTCCAGTTTTCCAATCGGCGACGAAAAATCTTCAATCACTTTAGCACTCTCTGTGCGAGTGCAGATAAGGGTTTCAAGTCAAATTCCCCAGCAGGTAATACAGGCTTCGGCCGTCGTTTGGGTTTTCCAATACTAACATAGACCATTGCTCAGCTTGACTTCCTAGTCCCTCGATCTTAACAGATCAAGACTGGTGTTACACCGTTAAGCTGCATCCTGGCAAGCCTTCTCTTGCTCCTGATTGAGCGGGTCGGCCTTCGCGTCCGCAGCCTGCTTCGCTCCCGAGTCGGGCACAGTCACCAGGTATCCTGGGGGCAGCGCCTGCACTGTCACCGGAACGCCCACGCCCTCCAGCACCACCTTTCCCTCCGAGGCGGCCGTCCGCAGCTTCGTGGTCATCACCAGGTTGACGATATCCATCTGGAGGCGGGTGCACACCTCGCGGGGTATCGTCTTCAGCAGGCAGGTGATGTACGTGCCGAACTTCTCCACCTGCTCGTCCTCGCCCGACGAGGGGCTGGAGACGCGCCGCTTCATGCTGGGCCGCCGCTGGGGCCTGCTGCTAGGGCGCGACTCCCGCCTCGGCGGCGGCTTCCGCGCCTCGTCCTCCAGATAGACCACCTCGGTGTAGGTTTCATTCGAGCCCTCCTCCTCCTCGTTCTCAGAGTGGTCTCCGACGTCCTGCGGAGTGGGTTGGTATCGTATTCAAATTATGTTTTAAGTTTTTATAGTGCCGATCTCTACACTAAAGATGAAACATTTCTAGAAAACTTGACGGAAAGTTTTAGGCGGAGCGGGAATCGAACCCGCGTCGTCAGGTATCGCACCGATATGCTTTACTCACTTAGTTAAACGGCTAATTGCCACGACGACGAAAATCACAACTATCGCGCCATCCATTGCACGTTCTTCGAAGCACACAAGCTCGTGCGCTGTAAGGCCATCAGCCGTTTAGGGGGGGTGAGATTGTTGACCACCCACCTGTGCCAGCTTGGGGTGGTTCTCCTTAAGGTGGGCGCGCAACTCGTGCGCGCGGTGCGGCAACGTCGCCCTGCAGACGACGCATCGCGCTCGGCCGCCTGTCTCCTTCTCGAAGAAGCTCCACACGTCGGGCGCCGCCGCCGACTGGTTGGAGTCCTCGTCTGTGGAAGCAACATATCTGCAACTCTCGTGTGTAGCAGATGTCCATGGGCGGCGGTATTCACTTAACATCAGGTGAACCGTCTGCTCGTTTTTCTACTTTTCACAAAAAAAAAATATTATGGAGTTTTAAATTTCTTATCTTTCGAACACTATAGTTTCATGGTCAAAGGATAGACTGCGTCTTTTCACATCAATGCCCAAGTTAAACTGGACCATCAATTATTGTTTATTTTATTCCGATATGGAGCTTAAGGTATATTGAGGTCTAGGAGTGTTAGTGTGCTTCCATTGTAATTATGGGACATCAAGCTGATGATAATTATTACAGACCTTCTGATAAGAGCATTGTTAATCGGAGATTTTTTTGCTTCTTCAAATGACAAGAATGAATATGCTGATTTTAGGTATTTAGGTGAGAGGGACAGAGAGAAAAATATGTAAATTAGTATGATATTTAAATAACGACCTGGATGGTGTGAGTCAAACATTTTTTAACATTTATCATACCACCTTTAAAACAAAAATTACATTCTTATTCCAGAACCTTTTTAGGAATCATAAACAAATATATTTATATAATCTGTTTAATACAAGTATATTTTAAGTAAGAAAGCAGCTTAAATGTACAGTCATTGCTAATAAGCAATATTTCCTAAAACTTGAATGTATATTTCCCTAAAATACATATCTTTACACATTTTTTAAGTCAACAGCGGCATTTTCATTATTTATGTTGACTTAAATAAACTTCTTCTAGTCTTAAATTTAAATATTAAGGTGGAGAAAAAAGAAAGCGTTGAAGATTTACTTAGACCGGGTATGTACATGCTTTATTAATAATTTTCCTGTGAATCATAATCAAATTTCCTATATGTCAGAGAGTCGGATTACAAATCTGGTAACACCAAACATATCATTAATAAAAATTATAATCAATTTTAGAATCGATGACGTCACCCCATGTTGGCAGTACTGTATATTCATGTTATTAAAGTAAAATAAAAAATGGAATTAGTGAAAATAATTTTAAATATATATATTAATGGAAACGCTTAATTTTAATAAAAAAAAAATATTAAAATTAAGCGTTTCTATTAATAAGTTTATCAAGCTTGTTCATAAAAATGTAAATTTTTACCGTTCATAATTAGTTTTGGATTTTGACTTTAATACATCTTGTTAACCGAGTGAAAATTCTTAACATTTTTCATACTTTGCATTTAGAGTCAACTAATAAACATTTGTTATAAAAAGATAATGGATCACAGCTAAATGTGGTAAAGCTACATCTATCGGAACTTCAAGTACCTTTCATTACATTCGGTTTGACGTGATAACAAACGAGACGCTTTTCCCCTAACCTTGTTAAATGAAAATAAATTTAACCTATTTTAGAAGGCAACAAATTGAAAAATATGTTAACTAACCGAAAGCGAAGAAAAATTGTTTTCGTAGTATTTGTTACTAAACTGTTACTGTTCAAAATACAATACAACCTGAGATTCAGAAAACAAAGTCGTTAAACTGTTATTCATTGATTGAAAAAAGCAAATTATAGGTTATAAGTTACGCAACGATTATACGTACATTAACTTTTAAATAAATAACGAGTTATTACATTTCGATATTAAGTTAACGCTACAAGTTTAATTAAAAGCTAAAAGTTGTTATGTGACATAAGTTGTGCCACAAAGTATTTATTTACTCAAATACAAATAAAAAATAAACATAAAATTTCTCTCGAACTGTTTAACCTCACTAAACGAATGTTGTACACATTGTAGTTTGTACCGTGGGTGCCTGTATCCTTAAATTTATCTCAACTGTACTGACCTGTACTTACCTTGATTTATCGTTAGATCGACATACGAAAGAACTCACCGCCGTCCACGTACTCCAAGTAAATCTCCTCGTTGCCGTTCGACCTTTCTCGCGCAATTTTCAACATCTCGTTGTAGTCCGGCTTGTGCAAGCGCGCCAAGTGGGTCCTCAGGTTGGTGATGGTGCTTTTGTAGGAGCATGGCTTCTTGCAAACGTTGCACAGGGCCACGCAGTCGGCGCCCCTCAGCTTGTTGAAGTACAGCCATATCAGGGAGCGGTTTTTCCTCGATGTTGCCCGCAACCGTGGCTTCACAGTCAGCGACACTTCGTCAGGGTGAACCCGCGCGAGATGCGACCTAAGATTGTGCGAGGTTGACGCGTAACTCAGCGACTGCTCACATATCAAACACCTGGCGCGCTTCGAGCCGTCCTCCGAATCGCACTTGCGGAAATAATCCCAAATGTCCGATTCGCCCATCGTTTTATTGTTTCGCGTTTACCGAGCAACGTTAACAATATTAGGTTACTTAACGTGGACGCCGCTACGATAAGATGGCGCCCGTTGTCAGTGTCACGGTGGATTTATAGCGAACGACGCGAGTTTTAATGTTAAAAGGAGATATTAAGAAAATTCACGTTAAAAACCAAACAATCGAATGTATAATTAACGTACGAAACCGTTTTCGGAGAAGATTTAATAGCAAACTATGATTAGGGGATACAGTAAGAAAAACGCCTATATGAATCGCAGTCACAGATTAAACAGGCATTGCTAACCGTTATATAGCATTGAATGGTAATTGTAGCGTATTCTATTTTGCAAGATAAAAGTAAAAAAATAAATAAATATAAATGTATATTTTAGACCTCTATATCATATTCAAGCATCGTTAGGCGCATCTAAAATAAATAGGACAAAATAATAACTTTTTGAGAGGAATTCTATAAAAAAGGATATTGTTACAGAACATTAATTACATTAATTACAGTATTTTTACACATTTATCTTTATGTATAATTCGTATCGTAGTATATTTGATACAACAGTTATTGCAATTATGTAGATTGTCTCTCGAGCGCTCATATAAAAGTAGTATTATTATAACGATTAAACGTAGTTTTAAAAAAAAACTTATTAGAATGATATGGAAAAAATATCAGCTCAGTTAATATTATTTTTATTCCACGTCGACGAAAAAAACTGCTGATTAGTAATACTTATGATGGCAGTTTCAACTACTTTCTAGGTTTTAACCAAACAATCGAAACTTAAACTGAGTGGCTCTTCATCTATGGATGATATGCTTTAATATATTTTATTAGCAGTCATATAGTATTAACTGCATTTTAAAAACACTTTTTGCAAATTCGATAATAATTTACAGAAGTCCAAATGAGATACATTTTCAAACGTTTTATCTATCGAGTAAATTTAACTTAAATTTACACTAATTTGTAAGTTTAAGTATTTATCAACAGAAAATGTTAAATAGTTAGTTTTATAATAAGGCCTTATTACGACTTTAATCTATTGCATACTTGTATATTAACAATAAACCGAAAAAAGTTTCGATACTTAAACATTAATATTATTATCTTTCCTTACATATCTACGTATAAATTACTACAAAATATATTAATTAAATTATTATAAACTGTTACTGCTTTTCTGTATTCCGTCAATTTTGACAACGTCAAATTATAGCATATATAGTAATGTCTAACAAAAACTTCGACTATATACTTGTCGATTATAACCATAACAGCTTATAACGAAGCTGAAAGAACCGTTAACACAAGTTAGCAATATTAGGTTTACCTATTAAATTGATCACTTTTGAGTTGTTGTAAAACAAGAAAACTCTACATGTCTTACTATTTAACGAGCTTAAGTCTCCCGGAGATGTATCCGACTTCTGCAGATCGTTGTAGACCAACGGGTGTTTATTCTTCAAATGCGCCTTCAGGTTCGTTATGGTGGTCTTGTAGGAAAAGATATTGCTGCAGAATTGGCAGACTGCAGTCTTGCTGCCGTCGTCGCATTTCTCAAAATAGTTCCATATCCTGGCAGTTGACGACCTGGACATACCGAGCGGGAAAGCAACAAAATTATTGCTAAAAAACGAAAACGAAACGAACCGCCTGCTATATTTCGCAGGTTATAATATTCGATATAACCTAGTTATTATTGTTATTGTGCGATGTAGCAAGATTAAATAGCAATAGCGGATATAGTTCATTACTTCGGATACTGGGCATTTGAGCAAATGTCCGAAACCTATTAAATATTTTTAAATTCTTGGAAATGAATTACACAAAGAACTTGTCACTATTTAAAAATAATTTACTATTTATAAATGTACTATTTTTTTTTAATAAAATAGTTCTAGGTTAGTTTATTGGTCCGTGGGTAAACGGTAATAGGGTAAATCCAGAGGAAGTAAAGAGTAGAATGTAATTTAAAAAAACCGACCCTATTTTGATATACCCAGTGTCACTCTCACATTAGATACGAATCTGAAGACACCTCTCAAGCTAAAACCCATCAAGCCGTTCAGGCTGTAGAGCGTGCCAAACAATTATAAATACATACATACTTAAATGCTGCCGAATAACATAACCCTCCTTCTTGCGCAGTCGGATAATAAGGTTGCAATCGGTATTTAATCCTATGATATACTAGTGCGCTGACTCGCTGAGCCATGTGTGTTTGGAAGCATCGAAGACGATAACCCGTTCGGGCCTCTGTCGCGTTATCAAGTTGCGGTTTGCGGTCGGATAGTAAATTTATTATCGCGTGATAATGTTAAATGTTTCGTTCAGACCGTTTAAGACATTCATAGGTCGGCGTATTCTCGAATGAGCGTTGCACGTTTAGACTATTGCAGGATCGATTCCGATTGTTTTAATTTACGGATTTCTTTTATATGAAGTCTAGAACTCTCGATAAACTTCATTAAAGTAAGTTGACAGAGTTTTTATTTTTAGGTGGCAATTTAATTTGGCACACCGCATTGATCGCCGGTTGCGCAACGAAAGAACGATTTTGGATGACTTGAAGCGGTTTCGAGTGCTTAGCGGTGATATGCGTGAAATAAACACTGGCATTTTTCAGTATCGGACGTATGCATATGCAAACTTAATATTATAAATGCGAAAGTAACTCTGTCTGTCTGTCTCGCTTTGACGCCCAAACTACTGAACCGATTTAAATCAAATTTGGTACACAGTCTAGAGCCTGAGAAAGGACATAGGCTATTTTTAGTTAAAGAAATTTATTTCAGAAAGAAATATATTTAAGGGCTTCCACGCGAGCGAAGCCACGGGCGAAAAGCTACTTTTATATAAATGAACTTTCGTCTTTGTGTCGTCTTACTAGATGCTTAGTTTTTATGTAGCGTAACGCCTAGATATGTGGGTCTTATTTCCCATAGAATATGTTGATTGAATAATTAGATGGAAGGTGAGTTCTCGAGAGTGTCATAATCCCGTTAACATAACTATAAGTTTTTGCTTTAAACCTTTAATGAAGGAATGGAATCATTTAGATTTTATATCAGAAGACATTATTATTCCTTTATTCATCAAAATCTCTTTTTGTTATAGATTCAATATAAGGTTGAATGGCGCAAATAAATTATTCTTTTAGTTTATCATTTGTTAATATTGTCTTTGTTGAGTTCTACGCTGTTTCACCACTCACTGCCAAGAGTTGCAAGGATGATTATCATTGTTTTCCATTATTTAAACAAAAAAAAAGTAACATGCTCAATGATACTTTTGATATACTTACAGATTATACTTTGCGCACTGGGCTTGTAGTAAATAATGCTTTACTATGCCGTGTTGATAAATTATTCAATGTCCGGGCGTTCGCTTTTAATTCCATATACTCGAATAACCTGAGTCCGATCTACGGTGCCGGCACCAATGAAATTGTTAATTTTTAGTGCTCAATTATCACGTGTTCAGCGGTGAAGGAAATCATCGTGAGGAAACCTGCATATTTTCGAAATAACAAAAATAATATTTTGAAATAATATTCTGATACCCTCTGTATAGAGGAGGCCTTTGCCCAGCAGTAGGACATTTATAGGTTGTTACTTTACCTCATTTTAAACTGTAGAATACATTAACACTGGGACTTAGAATCTGCAGAGTACTGTCCAATTAAAAAAAATTGTGTGGTTTTGTAAAACGTCTAGTGCATTTCTTAGTTTTCTTTATTTTTCTGTGTGGAGGTGAAACCTGGAGGCTCAAAAGTCGAGACATAAACAAAATAAGTGCCTTCGAAATTTTTTTTTTAATGTAAAATTTGCCAAGCGAGCAGGCAGTTCACCTGATGTTAAGTGAATACTACCGCCCATAGACAACCTTTATAAAATTGGGCAGTGCTGGAGACAAATGCTAGAGATACCCAGGACAGCCATGAGGAAAAACTCGTCGTTGTACAGGCAACAGGAGAAACTGTACAACGATCCATTGAACTGGCTCAGAACAGATGCAAATGGCGACAATTTATATATAGTCACGATCCTCATGAGTGAATGAAGAAGAAGACTCAAACCACGATGCAGGTGAGACTTTTTTCGGTTTGTATGCAATTAACTGTTTTCAGTTGAATATTGATAATGAAATATTTAATAATTGTAGCCGAGGTTTATTGTTATTGTTAGCCTAACTACTTTCGGGAATACGAAATTTATATGAACATGAAACACTATGAAATCTGCAACATTTTGTTTTTTCTTTATTATTTAACAAAAGCTTTTATACAAATTTTAAGTACATAAAATATGAAAAATTCCTTAATAACATTTGTCTATGTCTGAATAAATATAATTGTGATAAGTTACAAAGCAGTGTAGTTAGTACTACATTACAGAGGATTACAGAAACAGAGGACATCTCTTTGAAACATTTCACGTCTTCAATTCATTCGTGTTTAGATCATATAATATTATAGTTCAGAGTACCTTTTCATTAATTGCAAAATTGATGGTGTTAGGACCACGTAACAATGTTGCACGAATGGGCAGGTACATTCGGTTAAGTACCACAACTGACAGAAGACCGGCGTAAAGTAGAACTGTTACACTCCTGCGTATCGCCTGGTGAGTGAGGTAGCTGTGGCCCAATTTATTAAAAGGTGGCAACGCTCATTAGCTGCGATAATCACTTAACATCATGTGAAACGCCAGCTCGTTTACCACTTTTTCACATAAAAAAAAAATTGACAACAACATTGTATTTTTCTATATGTTCATCATCCTCCTGCCCGTATACCACCACCTTAGGGTCTGCACAATATATGCACCAAGATGGATGTTAGCGGTTTTGGCTACATTATTGCGACCTGACGTCTACCCTCCTTGAAACCCAACACCCATATCCAGAACAATCATGCATGGGTCACAGGAATACTTGTCCCATGTGGGAATCGAACCCATGACACTCGATGCCGAAGCCAATACCTTAGCAAGGGTGCCACCGAGTCTTATTTCCATATGTTATGTGATAGAAAAGATGCAATTATGCTAATTTGCCTCTTTTCTATCACATTATTTGAATTGTTTCGAAGGGATTAAAAGACCTAGAAGATCTATTGTAGTAAGCACATTATTGCTTGTATTAAAAACTGGGCATGTTAGTATTTTTTGTTTAAAAAAAGATTATAATAAAATCTATGATTACATATTTCTTACAATCAACAGTTACAAGCATGCAGAATAGCACAATATATTGGCGCAGACTACATAGTTGAAATAAAATTTGTGGTTCTTGTCTATTCGGCTAGCCACATCTTCCTGTTAATTGTATTTTGAACAGTTCTTAAAAAAATCTCTCAAACATAAGAACATTAGCACTCACACATTTTCGCTAAAGTAATTAACTTTTAATAAAAATACACTGCACTGTTTCAATCTATGAAAACTTACATCCAAGAAAAAAGCTGGATATTGCTTCAGACAAAACTTGCAAACACCTCATTCTTGAGTTCAATTGAGGAGGAGAACACTTTTTATGGACCATGGTGGTGACCACCAGAAGAAATACCACATCCATCACGAGAGAATGTCCCACGGTTACAGCAGCTGGTGGTCAGGGAGAACTGTTATCTTCAACCGGTGCTTCGGCCAGTGCAGCGTCAGGGGCACCTGCGGAGGCTCTTGGGTGGGGCCTTCGCCATCGCTGTCAGATTCGGAGTCGCTGCCCGCCAGCTCTGCCAACTGAGCGACCTGTGCTGACATCTCCTCAGCCAGCTCCTTTGGTATCAGCATCTGCGGACAGCCATTTTAATATTGACAAGATTCTACAGTCTACTTCTCTTTAAAAAAAAAAATAAGAAAAAAAAAACACATCTTCGTTCTCTTGCCCCATATCCCATCTAGGTAGTTATCCAAACAAAATGTGTTATCCGCTAGATTTTTTTATCTTTCTATGAATATATTTATAATTATGTTATACTCCGCACTTGGAATTTAAAATTTGTAAAAAATTGATGAATAGTACAAAAATTCAAATATCTTTACACAACAATACTGGAGCAGTATACTCATTCCTTCAAAGTCAAAATTTGTTTACTCATTACGGCCATTATTTAAGTTCAATGAACGTGAAAAAACTTCCGCTGGTACACTATTCTAGAATTGACCTAAGAAGGACCGGCGAAATGGGAATGAAAGTGTGATACTTCTGCGTTTAGTCTGGTGAGTGAGGTAGCCGGGGCCCACTTCGTTACGAAGTGGCAACGCATCTGCAACCCTACGGGGGTTTGCAAATATCCAAGGGCAGGCGGTTATCACTTTGGTAACTTACTTACTATACTAAATTATGGCAGAACGCAAGTATCTATTTGAATAAAGATAATTTGAATATAACAGACGGACGGACAGCTCGCTTGCCACCTTCTCATAAAGAAAAGACAGTTTGCTTTTCCCCATTCTGTCGGGGTGGCATATCGGTGTACCTGCAGCCAGGGCCCCAGGAGGGCGTAGGGCCTGGCGCGGCTGGGCGCCGCCGCGGCCACCCCGCCCGCCACGAAGGTCACCGCCCTCGGGCCGCAGCGCCAGGTGAAGTGCCGCCCCTGCCTGACCCGCCCGCTGCAGTCGAAAGCACAGGTCACTAATGTTCAAACCGGTTATAAAAAACCCGGCCGAGTGCGAGTCGGACCCGCGCACGAAGGGTTCCGTACGGAACTATAAAAACTGCAAAAAAGTCCTTTTTTTTTTTGGAGCCTCGGCTTGGGCCGTCACGGTATTATTATCACCGGTTTTTTTTTGTTTGGGAGGCCGCCAAGCTCTTAGGGCGCTTTGGCGGGCGCTCCATTGAGTGAGTAGGCTCAAGGGTCTCCGAGAGGGAACCTCGGCTTGGGCTGTCACTCAGCACGCATTTAGCATTCCGATTCGAGGGTGCCCGAGAGGGCCGGACCTCGGCTCGATCGGTAGCTATTATCTGACTGCGGGGTCCGTTGTGTGGGAGCCCCGCTTAAATATTTTTTTATTCTGTACTAGCTGTGCCCGCGACTTCGTCCGCGTGGAATTAAAATAAAAATAAAATCTAAATGGCTTAAGTTACTCCTTATTACATCAGCTATCTGCTAGTGAGTCCCGTCCAAATCGGTCCAGCCGTTTCAGAGATTAGCCGGAACAGACAGACAGACAGACAAAAATTGTAAAAAGCGGTTATTTTAATATTACAAACAGACACTCCAATTTTATTTATTTGTATAGATTTGTTGTTATAGCGGCAAAATAAAAAAAAGATAACCACATCATCTGTGAAATTTTTCAACCGTCTAACTATCACGGTTCATGACATACAGCCTGGTGACAGACAGAAATACAGCGTTTTACCCTTTGGGTACGGAACCCTAAAAACGAATTAACATTTCAGGTAATACTTTACCACAACTTTATCTGGTCCCAAGCTAAGCTAAGCTTTCACTTCTACGATGTTGCGAAGGCATTCGACAAGGGTTGGCAAAATGTCTCACTCTACAAGCTGAAAAATCTTATCGTGGTTCCGTGCTCACTATACGAACCTTGTAGTAAAAGCGTTCTTTTCGATACCCAATAGAGGGACATCTCTCGACAAACCGCTCCCTCACGGTGGGCGTCCCTCAAGGTTCCTGCCTGTCTACCTTGCTCTTTTCGCACTGCACGAGGGATTCCTAAACACCTCGTATTATACTCGCGATTTAGACGGACGACACCCGTTTCTATTCAGACACTTCCATTTCCAATTTGCCGGAGACCGCGCCAGTATTTGATTTCGTAAATAAAGTATCGAAGTTAACGCCAAGGTTACGTTTTACTGCAATAACCAGGCACTAGAAATCACTAGGAATTTTTCGTGGCGTTGATCGAGCCCGCACCCTCTGGCGCCACCATCCACCATCCACCGCGCAAATCGGCTCAAAATTTAAATAGTACTCACTCTATTGCCAACGGAAGCAAGCTGGCGCTTTCTGGGTTGAGTATCAGATGCACACCGTCCAAATACTCTATGCTCTCCTCACAATGCCAGGTGCCCTGATGAAAAAGAGGACTAAGAGGATCATACAATACAGCATCTTTTTCTTAATTGACATTCTATAATGAATATTTGAAAACACTAGAAAGATGTCGCTTTTGCCATTGAAATAGATTTTTTTTATTTTATGGCCAGTTTTTGTTCGCAATATGATTATCCATAAATGAATTAAAATTGTTGTTATAATTTGATCTAATGAAGTTAACATGAGACTTGGAAAGCAAGGAAGCAAGGTCTCCTTTCTGAAACAATGGCAGTGTTTTGACAGTCATTTAATTGATATTTGAATTAAGGTATTAACAAAGTTACATATAATTCAATGAAATTAATAGCGCATTCGGGTTTTTGCATGGAGCGAGTGTTATCAAACATTCTCCTTGTACGGGAATCTCTTCTATTGCACGCTGTTAGAGCTCACCGGCATCAGCTCAGGTATCTGCGGCAGGGCTCTCTCCATGCTGGACATCTCAAAGCTGTCCGTGGACATGTGGCCTGGAACCAAGTAAAATGACAATATAACATTACTATATAGAAGAACATAGATGTAGAATATACATCATCATCATCATCATCATCATTTCAGCCTGTTTGAGTCCACTGCTGAACATAGGCCTCCCCACAGACTGCCATGAAGCACGATCCTGAGCCACCTGCATCCATCGACTTCCCGCACATTTGCACAGGTCGTCACTCCATCTAGTGGGGGGTCGTCCTACACATCGATGGCCAGTACGAGGCTGCCACTCGAGAACCTTTCTTCCCCAACGGTTATCGGTTCTACGAGCTATATGGCCGGCCCATCGCCACTTCAGCTTGCTAATCCTCTGAGCTATGTCGGTTATCTTAGTTCTACTGCGGATGTCTTCGTTACGAACTCTATCACGCAGAGAAATACCGAGCATAGCCCGCTCCATAGCTCGCTGAGCGACTTTGAGCTTCCTCATACGGCCAGCAGTGAAGGACCACGTCTCGGTTCCGTAGGTCATCACTGGCAACACACATTGATTGAAGACTTTAGTCTTCAAACATTGAGGTATATTCGACGAGAAGATTTGCCGAAGTTTCCCGAACGCTGCCCATCCGAGTTGGATTCGCCGATTGACCTCTGCGTCGAAGTTGGACTTACCTAGCCGGACTAACTGTCCTAGGTAAACGTACTCGTCAACAACTTCGAGCTCAGTGCTCCCAACAACAACCGGTATAGGCGTGACATGGACATTAGACATGATCTTCGTCTTGTCCATGTTCATCTTAAGGCCCACCCGTTGGGAGACACTGTTGAGGTCATTGAGCATAGCACCCAGGTCCTCCAGCGATTCTGCCATGATGACTATATCGTCGGCAAATCGAAGGTGGGGAATCCTTTCCAGTCCAGAAGCTTAAAAACATCTTCCAACGCAGCGGTGAAGAGTTTCGGGGATATGATATCACCCTCTCTTACACCCTTTTGCAGTTGGATAGGTTTTGTACTACTGGACTGTACTTGGACGGACATCGTAGCCTTGTTATACAAACACTCCAGCACTTCGATATACCGACAGTCAATTTGGCACCGCTGAAGAGCCTGGAGTACCGCCCAAATTTCGACAGAATCGAAGGCTTTCTCATAGTCCACATACGCTAGGCACAGAGGCAGATTATACTCTTCGGTCTTCTGTATAATCTGCCGTAAGGTGTGTATATGGTCTATGGTACTGAAGCCTTTTCGGAATCCGGCTTGTTCGGGAGGCTGGAAGTCGTCGAGTCTGGAAGCGAGACGATTCAAGATGACTCTTGAGAACAGCACATAGACGCGGCTCAGAAGGGATATCGGTCTATAGTTCTTCAAGAGAGCGTTATCGCCTTTCTTGAAGAACAGCACCACCACACTTCTGCTCCACGCCTCTGGTGTAGCACCACCTTGAAGGACGGAATTAAAGAGCCTCTGAAGGACTACAAGTACCGGTTCTCCACCCGCTTTCAGAAGCTCTGCTGTAATTCCGTCCTCTCCCGATGCCTTGCCATTCTTAAGATGGTCAAGAGCCATTCTAATCTCGCTCAGACTGACGTCCGGGACATTCTCGGAATAGTGTCGGATAAGCTTTGCTCTTGGGTCGTTACTCACACATGTGTGTGGCTCCAACAACGATGTGTACAGCTGTCCATAGAACCTCTCAATCTCACTCAAAACCTCTGGTCTACTGGAGATGATAGCTCCGCTGTCAGTCTTCAACTTAGTCAGTTGGCTTTGTCCGATAGACAGATCTCTGGCGAAGACTTTTGAGCCTAGGTTCCGCTCTATAGCTCCCTCAATACGGGCTGTATTGAAGTTGCGTATTTGGAGATCTGCCTATTAAGCCGCCTGTAGTCTGATATGTCAGTTAAAGACTGCAGCCGCATCTCACGTCTTTTTACGAGTTAACCCAAGAGGTTAAGAGTGTGATCGGAGAGTTTTTGCGTTCTATTTGTCCGGCGGGCCTTATAAAATTTAAGGCCCACGGCATGGACAGTTTCCACGAGCTTAGCGTTAATATCGTCCACAGAGCTGCAATTTTCTAGGCATTGGAAGCGATTATGTAGCTCGAGCTGAAAGCTTTCGGAGTTCTGAATATGGGCACGAGATGGTCGGAGTGTGGACTTCATTAGACGAGATCTTTCCAGCCTGATGTTAATATTCAATGTGCCTCTCACCAATCGGTGATCACTGCCGGTCTTCACCCTTGTGATCACAGAGACATCATTGAATATTTGCCGTTTGTTCGTCATAATGAAGTCTATCTCGTTTTTTACGAACCATCGGGGCTAATCCAGGTCCACTTTCTGTGGGGCTGCTTTTTGAAGAAGGAGTTCATCATAAAGAGTCCCTCCTTCTCCATAAAGTCAGCCAGCTGCTGCCCCCTTGGGTTCCGTTGCCCTATTCCAAAACTACCTACTCTCAGCTCATCGTCTTTCCTTTTGCCTAGTTTTGCGTTGAAGTCTCCCATTAACACCATGTACTGAGTTTTGGAGGAATGTATGGCTCGTGATATATCCTCATACATTGCCTCCACCTCATCATCGGGATGTGTCGACGTAGGTGCGTAAACCTGTATGACCTTCAGCGAATACCGTTTGGACATTCTGAGTATAAGGTACGCAACCCTTGACGACACACCCTCGATTTTAACAACGTTGTTAATGAGAGACTTGTGGACGATAAATTCGACACCTCCTTGGGACAGTTGGTCGCCCTCCCGGTGGTAAAACAGGTTGCCGGATTCAAGGATCATCGTGTCCTCCCCCTGTCTTCGGACTTCAGATAATCCTATTATATCCCAGCGCAGCCTGTTCACCTCTTCTTCCAGCTCTGTAATCTTCTCGTCAGTCCTCAATGTTCTTGCGTTGTATGTTGCCAGGTCCAGTCGCCGTCGTTGGTAGCCGAATCCTAGCCGGGGATTCTTAGCAACCCCTGCCCTGCCGTTACCATGACCGCTACCGTAGCCAGGAATAGCAGGGCCGCCGGGGACTGGGGGCCGTACACCTTGGACTTCCATACATGAGGGGTTTTTGCCATAGTTGCCACGCTTGGCGAGCGGGTTGGCAACCGCAGGTCCTCCAGACACCTCGCACCTTCAACGCTGCTGCCCGTTATTGGCCTGGCTATTTAGGGTCTGGAGAGTCGAGATGGTTATCCCGCCATCTATCGGTGGCCACCAGATGTTTGTGGCTTGTCCCTTAGTCGCCTCTTACGACACCCACGGGATGAGATGGGGTGGCTTATTCTTACGCCGGCACCACACGGCAATACATATAAAGAATATACATATATATTCTATATCATTTTTTTTATATGTATATTAAAGGACATTATACGGTGGTAGGCCACGCAATACGACAGGTCTTACTACCGCCCCCATTGACATTTGCAACACACGAAGAGTTGCAGACGCGTCGCAACCTTCCAATAAAGTGGGCCCCGGCCACCTCCGTCACAAGACGAAAGAAGTGTAACACTTCCACATCAGGCCGGTCTTCTGTGAGGTTTTGGTACCTATTCCAGTGGACCTGTCCATTCATGGTGTGGCCCTACCACAGTTTAAGTACAAGCTTTTCTTAGTTTTGGACATAGACTATGTTTATTATTCATAACTAATAGATTATGTCTATTATTCAACTGTGGTAGGGCCACGCAGCGGCCTTGGCTGTTGCACGAATGGGCTGGCTCGTCCGGGTAAGTACCATGACCTCACAGAAGACCGGCGTCAAGGGAAAATATAATACTTTCCGGTTTCGTCTGGTGAGTGAGGTAGGTGGAGCCGAATTTTCAAAAGGTTGTCAACATGTCTGCAACTCTCGTGTGTAGCAGATGTCCATGGGCGGCGGTATTCACTTAACATCAGGTGAACCGCCTCCTCGCTTGGCAACTTTTCACATAAAAGAAATATATTGAATTTATGAATATGTGACATACCTTCAGGAGTTATCCTCTTTCCTGATCCCATGCAGCTCAGCCCACGCTGGAGTGTGTCCTTTATCTGTTGCTCCACGCTTGGACTGAGGTGGGATGGTGATGCTGGCTGGTCTTCGGTTTCCTGATGAGAGATTTTTTTTTAATTAATATATATTTAGCACTTTACCCGGGAGGCGCGGAGTCGAATTCTGGCAATGGAAAAATAAAATCTGGCAGTTTCTAGAATTTATCTAAATATTTTAATTTATCTAAAAAGTTTAAAACCAAATTAAAAATGTTGAAATATAGGCTGACACGATAAGTGAATGAAGGATCTCACCCCACAGAGTGCTCAGAGGTTTCTTGGTCAAGGTGCTATACCTCATATTATTGGTTATCCAATAAGTAAGTGAAAGAATTCAATGTGCAGCCATAATATTCGGCAGATGTTTCTTAGTCCAAGCTCTAAAACTTGTGCCGCTGGGCCATTAAGTGAATGAAGGATCTCACCCGATCAGAGTGCGCGGATGCTTCTGTGAATGAGTTCAATGGACACTCATGACATTGGGCAGATGTTTCTTAGTCCAAGTGCTGTTCATGTGCTGGTGTTGCAATAAGTGTACGAGGGAGCTTAATGGAGAGCAGATAACTTGTGTCGGTGATCCAATAATTAAAGGACTCATTGGGCAGCAGAGAAGCTATCAGATTGCGCAAATGTTACTAGGTCCAAATGCTGTCCTTGTGCCGCTGATCCAACAAGTAAATGAATCAGCGCATACAAAAGAGCAAGGCAGCCGCAGCGTCTACAGATGTTCCTTATTCCATTTGCTGTACCTTATGTTGGTCATCCAATTGGTGAATACACCCACCATAGTATGCACATGCTCAAAGTGCTGCTGTTGCAACAGGTGGGTGAGATAGCTTTTTTTTTTTTTTTTGGAAAAAACGGGCAAACTGGCGGGAACCTCACCTAAGGATAAATGCCCACCGCCACCCATGAACTTCTGCAACACCGGAGGGCTTTCGAATGCGGCCTGGTCGTAACGGTTCGGAAAGAGGATCCACAGAGTGGCTGAGCTCACCGTGGAGTAGGGCAGCCACCTGAGCCGCGCGGAGACGCCGGCCAGCTGGGCGGGCGGGGAGCCCCCGCCGCCGGCGCGGCGCACCCTCCCCGCCGAGCGGCGCCTCCGCGCGCGCGTCACCAGCCACGAGCCGCCGCATCTGGAACACGGGACGTTTACACTAGTTGGTGCATAGCTGTGGCCTCATGTCCTTTCTTTTTACTATAGGTACTTATAATTAAGAAATTGTATTTAGATGTATATACATATCATACATAGACATATATATATATATATACACATATATATATATAGATATTATACATAGGTGTCATATTAGTAAGGTTGAAGTACATCGATGTAACTATTCACGAGAACTGCTGCCGACAAACTGCATCACAGTTTGGCAGAGAATAATTTATGTTATTGTACTTTATTACTGGATTAAATAAATAAAAAAAAAAAAAAACAAAAAAAACTTTGTGGCCGTTTTTAGGCATTCGCCGGTGTCGATTTCTGTGACTCTTCAGTAATTTTCTTTCTTTTCTAGGCTTCCTTACCCAAAGGGTAAAACGGGACCCTGTTACTAAGACACCGCTGTCTATTAATCTGTCACCGGGATGTATATCATGTACCGTGATAGTTAGCCAGTTGAAATTTTCACACATGACGTATTTCTATTGCCGCTATAACAACAAATACTATAAAACGGAATAATATAATATTTAGAACTCCCGTACAACAGACTTGATTTTTTATAGATAACGAGATGTAAAGAATATTTTAAGAATTTTTGTACACTTTGGGTTGCATTATTGATGTTTTAGTAAGGATCCCTACATTTTTTGAAAATATAATGTAGCCTATGTCATCCGAGGAAAATGTAGCGTCCCTACAGTGAAAGGATTTTTTAAATAGGTTCAGTAGTTCCGGAGCCTATTCAATGCATACAAACAGTCAAATCTTTCCTCTTTATAATATTAGTATAGAAGTATAGATAGTATAGATGATACGGAACACGTCGTGTTAAGTTAATTTTTCTATATATTTGATGACTCCGTTGCGCAGTTGCCAAGGCATTGGTTCGGCGTAGGGGGTAGTGGGTTCGATTCCCATACGGGACAGCTATTTGTGACCCACAGATAGTTGTTTCGCATCCGGGGTGTTTGTCCACGTGAAATGTATGTTTGTAAAATGTCCTTACAATATAGAATAATGTTATCCCAAAGTAATGGCTATGTTTAAAAAAATGTACCGAGGATCTTCTGCTATGAGCTTCAGCACTTCGAAGCCGGAGCCCCTTTGCGCTGCCTTCAGTTCCCTGCCCGTGCAGCCGATCATCTGGAATCGGGCGAAAAGCAGCATTTCGGATTTATTTTATATATAATAAGATAAACATTTGCAGCTAAAGTGTACTTAAAGTGATAACACTAGCTGCTATATGGGATTTTATTTAGTTATAAAGTTTTTATACTCGAATAATAGACTCTGACGGCTTTTTAAGCATTTCGCGACAATATCTAGCTCGCTTTATAGAGCGGTGGAATGCATCAGCCCTAAAGTATACAATCACTACATAGTATGAAACAAAGTGGTCCCGCCGTCCGTCTGTCCCTATGTATGCTTAGATCTTAAAAACCACGCAACGGATGTTGATGCGTTTTTTTTTTACTAGATAAAGTGATTCAAGAGGAAGGTTTATATGACGTACTAGCTGTGCCCGCGTGGAATTTAAAATATAAAAAAAATCTAAAATTTTAGTAGCTCCTTATCCTTATTACATCAGCTTTCTGTCAGCGAAAGTCCCGTCCAAATCGGTCCAGCCGTTTCAGAGATTAGCCGGAACAGACAGACAGACGGACAAAAATTTTTAAAAATGTTATTTTGGTATATGTACCGTGTATACATCCATATGCATTTAGTAAAAAGCAGTCGTTTTAATATTACAAATAGACCCTCCAATTTTATTTATCTGTATAGACAATACACTAGCTTTTCGCCCGCGGCTTCGCTCGCGTTGAAGCTTAAACAACACTTTTCTCCGATTAAAATATAGCCCATGTCCTTTCTCAGGCTCAAGACTATCTGTGTACCAAATTTCATTTAAATCAATTCAGTAGTTATGGAGTGAAAGCGAGACAGAAAGATAGGAAGACTTACGTTAGCATTTATAATATTAGTATGGAAGGATACATTGCACCCGTGCCGGTAGATAGTAATAATATATAACAGTCCGTCGCCGCACCTGGATGAACCTGACGGCGCCGTTCGGCGTGTCGATGGTGGGCAGCTGCGGGTCCTCGGCCACCAGCAGGTGCCGCACCCTGGACCCCCGCTGGCCGTCCAGCGGCGCGTGCCACGACACGTGGTCGCCGGCGCAGAACCTGTTCCCTGCAACTCTGTTCGGTGGCAGCCTCGCCGGGGCAGGCACCGCCCCCTCCAAAAGACCGGCGCGAAGGTTTTTTTTTATGTGAAAATTTGGTTCACCGGATGTTAAGTGAATACCGCCGCCCACGGAGATCTGCTGCACCCGAGGGTTGCAGATGCGTTGGGAGCCATTTGAAAATCGGGCTCCGGCCACCTCACTCACCAGACGAAACGCGGAAGTATTATACTTAAACTTTACGCCGGTCTTCTGTGAGGTCATGGTACTTACCCAGGACGAGCCTGCCCATTCGTGAAACAGCCGAGGCTGCTGCGTGGCCCCACCACTGTAAAACTGTGGGGCCTTGAGGGTCTACAGAGACACCCACGAGGTCTTGTGTGTCACCCACCTGTGGTGAACACGTATCTGGCGAGGGCCTGCAGCAGGGCGGCCGGCCAGAGGGGCGCCGGCCTGCCCTCAGCGGCCAGCCGCAGCGTCAGCTCCAGCCCGTAGCCGGAGTCGCGGCCGGGTAAGGGCGAAGGCTCCGGGTGGACGCGGCCGTCGCCGTGCAGGTCGGATAGACCGAAACTGGGCGGGGTCGAAGGGTGTGACGGACCGGTTACTGCTATGGACAGCGGAGCCGCCTCTTGCGACGGGTGGTGTTATTTCCATCCACAAAAATGGGAGTGACGGAGGACAGTGAACGTAACATAAATTAGTATATTCAGAAAGATCCATATTAATTAGCAATGCTAATACCTCCCCAAGTCATTCAAGATAATAAAGTTGCACGGCAACCTGTCTTTCTTGAGCGTCCAACTCTTCAAATTCACCACACTCCCCTTATACAACATGGTCCAATACACACAGAATAAATCTGTTAATATAATGTTACATTATTGTCATTATGATGCAGTGAGCCACACAACAGTCTTATCTTTTGCACTAATGGGCAAGTCCTTCCGGGGAAGTACAATCTCACAGGAGACCGGCGTGTAGTTGAAGTGTTACACTTCTGCATCCGTTTTGTGGCCATTTTATGTTGGTAACGCATCTGCGACCCTTCGGATGTTGCAAATGTCCATGGGTGGCAGTTATCACACTTCAGGTGAACTTCCGACTGGCTTGCCACCTTGTCACATAAAATGAATAGATAAATATGTTTTACCTTACATAATGCCAGTGAGGCGGTATGTTCTCCTCCGGTTTCCCAGGGTTCCAGTACATGCTGATGTAGTCCAAGGGATCTTGACCCCCAAGCCTAGAATAAAAAGGAAGTATAAACTACTTGTTTAACTGTATCTAAATTTTGCACCACTTATACTATAAAGCTGACTTACATTTGAAAATGTAAAAGGTATAATGTGGCAAGGCAATTACAATAATAATAAAGATAATGCTTTATTGCAGGCATTGGTATACCCATAAATCAATATATAACAACTACTAAACATCTAAGTTTACATATTACGGTAATATGTAAGTAAAGTAAGAAAATAATGTTAGAGATTAAAACAAGCATTTATCTAAATTTACATGTATAGCTGTGAATCAGCCAATAATTTAGGTTTGAGTCCCATACAAAAAACAAAATTCTGCAAATCTTAAGATAACCAATATTTAAACATATCACGCAACTTGGAAAATACTGTTTTAAGAATAGCACAAGAATATGTGACCTTATAATCAAATAAAATTTAACCACCATAATTGTGTTATACATAAAAATCACAAAAAGAATGAGATCGCAGAGTTTCTTGCCGGTACTTCTCTGTGCAGGTCTAGTTTAGTGAACCGGTGGTAGATTTTTTGTTGACGTTCAATAAGAGCTTAACTTAAGCCTATATTGAATAAATATACTTTGACTTTGACTAAGGTGATGAATAAAAGGTGAAAAGTCAATCGCAATCCAATATCTGTGCATTCAAGTCCCCTCTCACGTTAAAGAGTTATTATTTTCCACCTTACCAATATTTTAGCCTGGTTGTAACTTGCAACGGGTTTGGCTGATCTGGGTACAGTCTTGAATATGCTTCACATAGCGCCCTCAGTCCAGCAGGCACTGGTCTCTCTGTAAGAATGGCAGCAAGTAAAGAATATTATACTCCAACTTTTACAGCCTGCCTCAATATTTTCTCTATCTGTAGATTTGGTTACCAGGGAAAGAATTTTGACATCAGTATTATTGAGCTTATGTCAAATACCTATCACTACGTGAATCAAGTGAATACCGCCGCCCACGGACATCTGCTACACCCGAGGGTTACAGATGCGTCGACAACCTTTTGAAAATTGGACTGCGGCCACCTCACTCACCAGACTAAACGCGAAAGCATTATACTTCCACTTTACGCCGGTCTTCTGTGAGGTCATGGTACTTACCCGGACGAGCCTGCCCATTAGTGCAACAGCCGAGGCTGCTGCGTGGCCCTACCACTGTAAAATGTTAGAAGAGAGTGTTAATTAATTTATTATGGTATTGTTGAGGTCATCATAGATGAGGCTACAGGCTAGATAGAAGTTGTATTTTAGAGGTACGTCTGTTAGTGATTAACAAATTCAATTTGATGTGGATTTCACATCCTTGAAACTTAATAATGCATGTAAATGTTACATTGATAAATATTTTTTTTAATATTAAAAGAATTTTAATCGCTAACTAAACAAAACTTAAAATTTCCTTTTTATATCTACATTCAACTTGCTTTCCTTTTAAGAAGAAACAATAATACAAGTTTGAATAAAAGCTGGCAAAGCAAGTTATGATCATTATGTCCACTCATTCACTTTGAATTTATATATTACTTGAACCATATTTACTTGCGTGTGGTTAGTAGTTGTGGTTTTTTATTTAATATTTTTATAAAGATATAACAGCAATGTACATTTTATAATCAGCGAATATTCAAAATACTGATGCATTCCTCTAAATTCTTTTTATCTTTACGGATAGTTGTTGAAGTAGAGTTATTCTTATAAATATACATGTATATGTTCAATTAATTTATTATCAGTACCCGTAGTGCTCATATCGTCCTTTGGGTCAGGTTCTGATGAGAGAGCTGCGGAATTATCAGGTAAGACCATCGGATTCGGCGCAGGCGCAACGAAGGATAGTGCACTGTTCCTTACAACACCAGAAGGTGGGGTAGCACCGCTAGTCCCCGACATTATAACTATCATTAACATCAATAAATGTGCTCACAATAAATTAAGCCACGGGTACACGTTGTTTACAATTTCTTTTGGTTACAGATGGTTACAGAAAAATATTTTGGCAAAAAGTACGAATGGCTCATCGCCACAGGTTAAAAATAAAAATTCGATTACGAAAAAGCACACATTTAATCAGCTGTCTATTTCGAACATAATTTTTTTTTTTATGAGAAAAAAGCAGCAAACGAGCAGGAGGCTCACCTGATGGTAAGTGATCACCGCCGCCCATGGACATCTGCAACACCCGAGGGCTTACAAATGCGTTGCCGGCCTTTTAGGTACGAGTACGCTCTCTTCTTGAAGGTTCCCAGGTCGTAACGGTTCGGAAAGACCGCCGGCGGCAGCTGGTTTCACAGAGTGGTTGTGCGAGGCAGGAAATGCCTTGAAAATCGCGCTGTTGTGGAACGCTGGACATCGAGGTGGTGTGGATGAAATTTTTGGTTTTGGCGCGATGTCCGATGGTGAAATTCAGCCGCTGGGATCAATCCAAACAATTCCTCGGAACACTCCCCGTGATAGATGCGGTAGAAGATGCAGAGTGACCCAACATCTCTACGCACAGCCAAAGGATCAATCTGATCGGAAAGACCTTGATCGTCGATAACCCTAGCTGCCCTACGTTGGATGCGGTCAAATGGAAGAAGCTGGTAACAGGTGGCTCCCGCCCAGAGGTGAGAGCAGTACTCCATGTGGGGCCGAATTTGCGCCTTATAAAGGTTTAGGCGTTGAGCCGACGTGAAGTACTGTCTCGCCTTGCTGAGCACACCGAGCTTCTTTGAGGCCAATTTGGCCTTACTTTCCAATTGACCGCGGAACTGGACATTGCTCGAGATTTCGGTGCCAAGTATTCCGATACTAGCTGTGACAGACAGGGGAGTGTTCTCAAAATGAGGAGTCACGACAAATGGGGACTTTTTAGCGGTTAACGCGCAAACTTGTGTCTTATCGGGGTTGAATTGGACTAAATTTAGTCGACCCCAGTCTGAGACTTTTGTTAACAAAGTCTCGACTTCAGACACAAGTTTGTTCCGGCTCTCGTAGACGTTTTCCCGAGAAATTTCGCGCAGACATTATGGGGGAGGAATGGGGAGAGGGCGTCCGGGACTCACACAGACCAAACGAAACGCGACAGCATAGCTGCCACTTGACGTCGGTTTCTAGTGAGAGAGTGGTTCTTCCCCGGGCGTGCCGGCCCAATTCGGCTGCTACCCGAAGGTGCGCAGCATGGCACTACCACTAGTTGGGTTGACTGACTGCACTGGTGGAATAATCTCTGTCACAAGATTATCCCACCAGCGGGCGATGTGGTCGTCACGTCCCGACGCCAACAAAAATTCATGAAAATCGTCATAACGGAAAGGGATTGGAAGATTTTTTTAAAAAAAAGACTAACTATAAATAATTTATGTATCGAACAATTCAAACACCTATCTCTCAAGTATTATGAAGTTAAATAATTTAACTTCATAACACTTGACATGCTTCAAAATTCTATCTTCACTGTCCAATTTATGTCATAGTCATTCAAGTTCGTTGTTAGTTGTGTATTAACTGATGTTTTTGCTTTCAGTCCCGAGACAATTAAAGCTTCATCTGACGCAGAACCGGTGGGCTAGCCAGAACCCACGGGTTTGGGCCCTCCGCTGTGGGTAGGGCCGCGCATGTGCTCATGCGTGCGTTTAACTATAAAATGTCATCTAAGGGCCATCGAAGTTGCGGTGCGGACCGAGACCCCGATGGCCGTCGACTGTGTTTTTAGCTAATCGGTGGCTGGGGGCGGTGAGAACCGCCCTGGAACGCGGGTGTACCTTGTGTACGCGTTGTGTTGGTCTCGCCGTGCTCAGAGGCGAGGGCGAACTATTGTGTTTGTTGTTACACTAGCTGGCTCGAACGATATCCTTTGAGGCGGCCACTATCCTTGCTCGGTTTCCACCACTGGACATCCTGGCGGAGATGGATGCGCGAGTTTATACTCGCCTCCGGTTACCTCAGGATGATGCCGAGCCCCTGGATGCGGGAGAGGTGCGGGAGCAGGAGCGTACACGCGGGTTGGAGATTTGGCGCGAGCGCTTGGGAGAAGCTCGGAACTTGCGCCAACGAATCGTCACTGCGTTCCTGCCCAGCTTCGAAGCCTGGCTAAGTGCGAGGGGATTCGCGCACGTCACCTTCCGGTTGACGCAGGTGCTCACCGGGCACGGATGCTTTGGTGAGTACCTAAATAGAATTGGACGCGAACCGACAACGCAATGCCACCATTGTGGTGGGGACCGGGACTCCGCGCAACACACTCTTGCAGAGTGCCCCGCTTGGGAGTCAGAACGTCGGATCCTGGTCCAAAAGATCGGGCAGGACCTTTCTCCACCAGTTGCAGTGGCGGCTGCACTGATGGAGAAATCTGCTTGGACGGCACTGGTCTCCTTCTGCGAAGCAGTCATGCTCCAGAAGGAGATCGCTGAGCGGGAACGGGAGAGGGCCGACCCCGCTCGGAGACGAAGGCGCGCGGGTGGTAGAAAACGGACGAGCCGCTCCGTCAGCCCTGTAGTCTCGGGCTTATAGAATAGGACTAAGGTATCCCCTGCCTGTCGTAAAAGGCGACTAAAAGGGGACACGGATGGGCAGCAGCACGAAGTGGTCTCGTGTTGCTGTAAGAGGATGAGGGGATTGGAGAAGGTTTATCCTTCTCCGAGGCGTGCTCAGGCGTAGTACCGAGGGACACCGGTGCGTTCCATGGGAGATCCCGGAGTCCCTCCAAATGTACAGAAGGTGGCCACCGAGGGGGTTTTAGTGGGTAAGAACCCCACATAACCCTGTCATGTAAAGTGACAGGGTATCTTTTGAAGATTTCCCCCCCGATACCAAAAAAAAAAAAAAAAAAAAAAAGCTGTGGGTGTAGTGTTATCCGGCGGGACCCCCCGCGGTGGATCCGGCGTGTCTAAGTCCCCTTCCTCGACCGGGTCGATGAGGACGTTTCGCGGGCGACGCTTGTTGACGTTCGCGTTTGTGTCGGGTTGGTAATTTGCTGCGCTTACCACCAGAGGGTTGGGATGATGTTCAGCTCTATCGAAGAACCGTTTGGTCAGGACTTTAAAATATTCGCGAATCGTCGGGGGTCTGCAATCGCTGTGCAGATCGACGTTGCGTTGATACCACTGCGCACCGGTTGCACAGCGGATGAACTTACTTTTGTACTATTTGCAGCTTGTACAAGTGTGGCCTATCGGCTAAATTCTAAGGTAGGGTAGGTGGGTTCAAGGATTCAGTGTTATTTATTTTATAGCTTTATTTGTCATACTTCCGCACACAACAGCTAAGTGTGGTGGTGGTTCACTGGCCTCACGGGCGGCAGCGCTCGGCTAATAATTAGGGTAGGGAGATCCTGGAAGCCAGACGAAGGCAAGCATTAGGGCGGCTTAAAACGGCGCTGGACAAACCCTACTCGAGCTCAGTGTCCCCTTTTATGAAAGCTACACTCTTACGCTAAGCAGCACCAGCAAGAAAAAAAAAATAAAAAGCAGAACAGTTACAATATAGTAATACACAGATACAATATAGTAATGACAACTCACCCCAGCGGGATCAAATTGGATTTAACCGTTTTGACTTTTTTAAAAAATAGTCGGTCGTTACTTATCAGTAGCACACAGCACAGTGACCTTACATATACTCCTTAGGAGTATATGTGTTCTGTGCAGTGACCGCTCTGTCTGACGTGCGAAACGTAGTCTCGTACGATTGGCCCAAACGGGGAAGCGTTCGCGTCACCGAATTTCGCCGAACGCTTCCGAATTTAGGGATCCGTCGGTATGGCGTGCAGGCTACGCGAACGGATATAATTTGTTTGTTTACAAATATTATTAAAAAATGGAAGGGTTCATTTAGATGCAACGTTACAGTACCCCGCCACAAGAAGAAGGATTTTGCGTATCTAAGTTCTCATAAGAAAAATCCGTCTATACTCACAACTTACTACCGACAAAATATTTTATTATTCCGTATATTTAATAAGTTTCAAATCTTTAATGTGCCAATATCCCAAGGAATTACCGGTCATATCCGACAATTCATATACGAGAGGTGATTTTTTAGTGATAATTTTACATTTTGTGAACTTGGGTGCTAATTTCTTGCTAAAATATTTATCTTTGTCACTCTGATAGAATGTTCTTTTCCAAACTATATCACCTACATTATATTCCGCAGGACGACGACGTAAATTGTAAGTTTGACAATTTCTAGAGTGTGCTTGCAATAAAAGATCTTGCACTTTGTTAAAAATAGAAGAATGGCAACCTAAATTTTCGGCGTAAGAGTCGCGTGGCTGATAGATAACGTCCTCGGACTCCGCGTCAACGTAATGCGACCCACACGAGACCAATTCGCGCCCATACACTAGAAAGGAAGGCGTGTAGCCTGTTACTTCATTAACCGCACTATTTATTGCGAATTGAATTTGGGGAATTAGTTTGTCACACATTCGGTGATCATTTTCAATAAATATTGATACAGCAGTAATTATGGTTTTGTTATACCGTTCAACAGTATTTACGTGTTTTGAGTATTTAGGCGTATAATGTAGGTTAGGTACTTTGTATTTAGATAGTGTGTTTTTTAGAGTAGCACTAACGAATTGTTTACCATTGTCTAAAATGATGGTAGAGGGAATTCCATGAACCAAAAATACGTTTTCTTTTGAGTATTTTCGTTACTGTTTCAGCGATAGCACGTTTTATTGGAAACAAAAGGCAATATTTACTAAAGCAGCACGTGACAACAAATATGTAGCAATTTTGTTTTCTAGTCGGGGGAAGAGGTCCGATGAGGTCCACACTGATAGTTTGGAATGGTCGTGAACATACTTTAGGGCGACCCATTACACCCAGGGGTGGGTGATTTTGGTGTTTATGAGCTATGCAAGTATCGCAGGCTGAAACAAACTTTACCACATCCGCGTACAT